GCGGTTCCCTATGTTGTTGTCCGCAACGAGCATTACATTGACTTCGAGGCATACGAAAAGCGGATTGTCTCTACTCTTTTTCTTCTTTTTTTTTTATAAGAAAAGGATCGTTTTATTCGAAATTTTAATCACAGCAAAGGGTAATATTTAAACAATAGATGTTAAAAGTTTGATTGAAGAATGTTGAGGAAATTATTTAATATTCGAACCGTGATTTTAAAAGAGTCCTTCGAAAAAAAAATTTTGAATGGCTGTCCGGATAGTTCGTGAGAAGCTTACCTCAATTCAAAACATCAAATATTTTTTGTTACTAGTTAAGTGTATATAGTTCGTGATTGAATAAGGAATCAACAAAAAGAAATAAATGCATGTCGAGAACGTCTCACTACTGGAGTTTTACCTTATTTGACTTTGAGAAAATCTTCTTCTTGTATTATTATTATATAATAATAGAAATAATTATAAGAAAAATGCATTTCTTAATACATTTAAAACCCCTATAAACCCTTAAGCATATTAAAAACAATGCTTTTGATGTGTGCAGCAAACACTGTCCAGATTAATTAAAGACTTTAGTTATTATTGGATGAACGTTTTTGTTGAACTTGACGATAAATTGTAGGTTGAAAGTCTTCTTAACCTTTCAACACAGAATAGGGAAACGGACGCCAGTCCGGCTATCGAGCATGTGCTGCAAATGGAAAAACTTTCGGCATAAAATATCGCCCAGCTGTGAAAATGAAAATGTTATCTTCATTTCGGAAACATGGCAAGTTGCCATGTCCTCGCCAACCACTGGCTTACTAAAGTGGTTTTTCTTAATAGCGCCGTAAGCGCAAAAACGTAAACGCAGATTACGGATCTTTAGAATGCGTTACATAAGTGAACTTTATGCTTTAGATGGATATGTCCGTTGATCAATGACTCATGCATTTCTCACACCGAAAAAGATGAAGGAGAAGCAGATAACTGAAAGATAGAAAGTCAAGTCAATCTGTGAAGGTCAGCTCTTCCAAGTACTATTAAATGAGGATTCGCGGAACAAATTGTTTAAATAGAAAGTGCTATCATGTTCAAGAAATAAGGGGAAATTTTAATTTTTCAAACTGTAAGCGCAGTTTCAAATCGTTCGGTTTGTTGGCTTATAAATTAGAACAGAGATAAAAGAAACAATCACTTGGTCACCATATGAGGAGGACTATATTAATTTGATTATAGGTGAGAGCAACACTCTTTTAGGATGGGCGCTATCTCTACGAGAAGAAATAAACCTTTTGTGATCTTAAATATTTTCTTATCGAATTTACTATAAGAATCGTAAAAAACGTATGGTTAGGTTCAACTAATTGAGAAGCATCAATCGCTTGCACAAGTCACTTCAAATACATCACATGGCCATGTCTTTTTACTCGTATGAGTTTCCAAAAATCCGTCAATCGAATAACGTTCAACGTAATAGATTGGGATTAATAACAAAACGTCTAGAATGGCTTGCAAAGTGTGACATATATATATATATATATATATCTATATATACCAAATATATATATGTATACCAATTGATGGCAATGGTTAGAAGCCTTTGCATTGTCACTAGACTTCATTGCAAATGCGTTACCATTTACCCCTATTTATGTTCTTTGTATGCATCGAGCAGAGCAAGGGAAGGATAACTAAAAAAAAAAAAATCTTAATATATTTACGTAAACCTAAAAGAAATCCAGTCGAGACACTATCGACAAGTTACTTGAAGGGTTGCGAAAATTTATCTCGTCGTCGGCGGCATTTATTTTGCCAAACGATCCTTCTGAACCTGTTATAGTATAGTCTCTTCAGCTTTACACATTCTGTAGAATTAATTGTTACACCCAACATATGTGCATTTTTATATACTTTATCTGTACATATGTAGTTAGTCGTATATGCAATTGATTATAGAATATGTGTATAGAATATCAAGTGGGTTTGCGTTTAAATTTTGCCAATTGATATAGATTTCATTTTCGTTTTTTATTTTGCAAAAACTTAGTGAAGGTTATAATTATGTAAACATTTACTTTGCACGAAACGTGCAAAACATTTCAATTGATAGCATAATGAAGCAAACAGAAAAAGTTACATTATTATTATTTTTTTTTTTTTTTATGAATCTGTTAAGAAGATGCAATTAATTAAAAGACTGGATACAACCTAATGCGAACCTTCTAAAAGACAATAAGTTTATTTATAAAAGTGGCTCAGCACTCCACCTAAACAAGTAATAACTGGCCGTAAATCTTCGCTAGAGACGGGTTAAGAAAATGTTTTAATATTTTCCGTGTCTATAATAAAAGGATGAAGCTGGGCATACACAGTAATATATCGGCAAAATTATTAATTAGACCGAATCAACACGCGCTCTACGGACTCGTCATGTTCCCGATGAACCGGTTTCAGAGGAAGAGTGTGTCAAAATGATGCAGAGCACACTCTGTTTAAATTAGAACAATGCATGGTTTAGAAAAATTCTTTAGGGCTTATATGCAAGGGGATATGCGTGTAACATGGTGACGGTCAGAAAGATGTGAAGCAAGAGAAAGGTATAGTTGATAGACGATAGTTGCCGTGTCTGCGAAATCAGTAGGTGTTGTTATGTCTATACCGACTGATTATCCGCTATAACTACAACCAACGTAAAGATTATTGCACTTGAGATTTGAACCCGCCGCACTGATTTGTTAGTCACGATTCTTACCTTCTAGGCTATGCATGCTGAAATAAATTCTTCATAAATTAATTATTGAATCCGTTCGTCCACATAAACCATCCAGTAGCGCACATGCCAGGAACTAGAAAGCAGATGGGTAAATCTGAAGCCACCTATTTTGTCCATAGATAGTCCTAGCTGTCAATGTGGTTGCAGCCAAATCGCATCATTAGTGCTATTTTCTGTTGCTGACATCTGACATTATGATTTTCAATTGACAACAACACAAATTTCATATAACAACCTAATTTGTAAATCCTTTGAACGCGTTTAGTTTTGTGTCATATAAAGAGAGCATTCGTCGGCAGAATTTTCTCTATCCCCGAACGATGAATAAATAATACGAGAGGAAGTCGTCGGACATCTATCTTAAGACTGAATCGCTATAGCATAACGACCGATACTCTGTGCTTGGTAGGACCGCAAGGGCCTGGTGTATTATGAGTTGGTACAGACAGTACTAACAACAATTAATCGATTTGAATGGCTCGTTGTTAAGCAAACGGCCAGAATTTCAGAGAAAGCAACACAAAAACACCTTTTTACATATCATCTATCCATACAATCATATTGTGAAGTTCGCATTGATAGCGCCCATGTTATGCAAGGTGTGAGAAAAGGGGCAGATTTTCCAAGGTTTAGCATCCACAAATAGTCAGACAAGTGCAACAAATGTATAGCCAGCGATGGACAACACTTCAACTAATATACATTTTATCAGATGTGTACGAAAACTCCGGTTTCGTATTCGCATGGCCACGTATATGAGTAGTATAGTAAGTATAATTTTAAGATGTATCCATATCATTAATCTGCTCGGCCGCCTGTCCGTCCGTTTTAATTGAGCTACGAAAGCGTATGCTTGAGTGCTTTACAAACGGACAGATAAAAGTAAGTGCACTGCTTTTACAAAAAGATGAAATTTATCTCTTATCAATATTTTATCACGTCCCCTACCAAATATTCAAAGTATATTAGCTTTATAAGTCCTGTTGTAACACACAAAATACTAAGTTCTCATGTATGAAAAGAACTACTCTCTCTTCCCTGCGTCTAATACTAATAATCGCCCTTTCTGCGCATATTGAGAAACTCTTCCCTGAGTGAGCGACCGTTCGAATATGAAGAGAGAACCTGATGCATTCTTGTATAATTTCAAGGTAAATTTTGTGTGGTTGTCCGCCTGTTCGTCCCTTTGAGTACTTTTTGAACTACGCAATAGTTGAGAAATCAGTCTAAGCGTAAAAATGAATACTATATATATATATATATATGTCTACAAATATGGCTGGCTACAGGGGCAAAAAATATAAAAATTAACTAAATTTTATTTTACAATTTATAATAAATGTCAAATCGGAATTCATTTTACATATTAATGAAGATTACATAAAAGCTTTAAATCGCAATAATAGCAACGGGGATTGATCTACAAGTTTACAATTACCAAAAAAAAAAGAAAAGAAAACCCGAAAACTTGCTTGAGATTGTAAATGTTGGTGAAATTGCGCTCGCAAGCAGATATGAAATTTCATTCACCTAAGTCATGTTACAAATTGTGCAAGCAAAATATTGATTTTCATTCGGCTTTTTTCTTTTTTAAGTTCGGCGAACTTTTCATTGTTATTGCACGCACGTCTAGTGCCTTTTTGTTTTTTTCATTTAGACGTCAAACCGTTGCACTAAACTCTTTTATATCTGTTAAGATTTGCTTTAATCACGAACTAATTATGGAGACAATTTTTTGAAAAATCACATTACGTATGAGCAATAAAATATATTAATTTGCCATTAGTTGATAACGTTGGTCACACATGTACATATATATATATATATAAATAATAATTTAATTATGTGTTAACAAAATAATAAATAGTATAGGGATTAGAAGGAGTTATTTAATCATTAATCTCGCATATCAACGTTTTTATCAAAAGTTAAGAGAAGAAGAGAATGCAGGAGGCATTGTAAGCATGCAAATGCTCGATGTATTGGTATTGGTAACAGTAATTCATAAAAATACAAGCACAAGTTAAAGCTATTGAGCTTATACAACAAGCGATAATGATCGTCCGAATCTCAAAAAGCATTGTATGGTTTTCGTTTATCATCAAGCACTCTCTGACTTTGTTAAAAGCTATACACGGCTAGCATTTGAAACGCAACCAACGGCAATCGTTTAAGAGTTGTGCTTAAGTTTAAAGAATTTTTTTTTTTTTTTTTTTATTTTATTTTTTTTTTTTTTTAATATTTTTAAGTGGAATTTAATTATTATTATTTAAAGTTTTCTTTTTATTTCGTTTTTGTGAAATCAAAAGCAGAAAAGAAAGTGATGTGTTACCAAAAACACTTGTGTTCTCTAATTAAAAATTGTTATTAAAAATGGATAGAATAATAGAAAATTCTGAAAAAGAGCAAGAAATTCCTTTCATGATTAACTCTATGATACCATATGCTGATGATGTCGATAATGTAGACATTTATTATGAAGAGTCGTTAAGAAATACTCAAGGGCCTCGTAAAAAGTCATTAAGTTTAAGACGCAATGTTGATCTTACATTAACGATATCACCCTCAGATACGGAGAGTTTAGGCGATGAGCCGATATCGCCAAAAACCGCTCTCGTCGCACGCAATGATATCGACGAGACACCATCGCTGCCTTTGCCTCATAATTTACGTCGTAATTCGATATCGATGCCTTCCGGGTTAAATGCTTTAGCGGATTTAGAAAATTTACGTTTAAAACATCAAATGCATACCCAAGCGACAGTAATGGAGGAAGAAAAAGCTAACAGTACACCCACAAACAGTGTAAGTAAAATTACTTAG